CAACTTGATTTGTTAACTGAACTCAAATTCTCATCACAAACTGAAATGAATGAGAACTCAAACCCAAATCTTCTGATTTTGAGTCTAAAGTTCTTTCTTGGACAGCATGTTGGTTTTTCTAAAGGGTCTTTTTAATGCTAAGTTCTTTAGAAAAGTCAACTGGACAATTTAGAGAATAAACTCTTGTCCAGATATTTTTTCCTAGTGTAGCAATACATTCTTTCCTAGTAATTATGTNCTTGGCCACCATGAAAAATGCTGCAATGAACATAGGGGTACATATACCTTTATAAATAAATGTTTTCAGGTTTCTGGGGGTAGATACCCAGAAGAGGGATTTCTGGGTTATATGGTAATTCTAGTCTTAATTTTTTTTGAGGAACCTCCATACTGTTTTCTATAGTGGCTGTAGCAATTTACATTCCCACTAGCAGTGTATGAAGGTTCCTTTTTCTCCACAGCCTCCCTAACACTTGTTATTTCCTTGTTGATGATAGCCATTCTTAAAGGTGTGAGGTGGTATCTTATTGTGGTTTTGATTTGCATTTCCCTAATATCTAGTAAAGTTGAACATTTTTTCACATATCTGTTGGCCGTTTGTATGTCTTCTTGGGAGAAGTGTTTGTACAGGTCCTCTGCCCATTTTTTAATTGGGTTTGCTCTTTTGTGGTTGAGTTGTATGAGTTCTTTATATTTTTTGATATTAGCCCCATATCAGGGGTGTTGTTTGCAAATATCTCCTCCCATTCAGTTGAATGCGTCTTTGTTTTGTTAACCGTTTCTTTCACTGTGCAGAAGCTTTTTAGTTTGACATTATCCCATTCATTTACTTTTGCTTTTGCTTTCCTTACCTTACCTTTGAGGTCAAATTCATAAAATCCTCTCTGAGCCCAAGGTCCATAAGTTTAGTATTTATGCTTTCCTCTGTGCAGTTTATTGTTTCAGGTCTTATATTTAGGTCTTTGATCCATTTTGAGTTAATTTTGGTATATTGTGACAGGTATCAGTCTAGTTTCATTCTTTTGCATGTGGCTTTCAACTTTCCTCAGCATCACTGATTGAAGAGGATTTCTTTTCTCCATTGTAGGTTTTGACTACTTTGTCAAAAATTATCTGGCCCTGCATATGTGGTTTTATTTCTGGGTTCTCAATTCTACTCCATTGGTCTGTGTGTCTGTTTTCCTATAAGATATTATTAAAAGAAATT